TAAGCACATTGAAAGAGTATTCACATGGCTCACATTCTCTTTCCAAACATACTTTGAAGGGCGGTTGCAGGTGCTAAATATTTAGAGATATCTGGAATTTTTTTCTTCAGCATCCTTATACATAGGTAGTTTTTCTCTTTTTGCCATTTTATTAGTTCTTCTATCCTGTTCTCACATCTGAGTGTAATTTTGTACATCCAACATCATCAGAAAGATATATCTATGAGCAGGATGTTCCCTGCAAGCTCATATGATGGATACTGGCATTTCTTCTCTAGCACTGGAATGCTGATCAATGTCAGCGATACCTGGTTGTGACCCAGGCAACTTCAGAAGAAGTATTTGATCCACACAAACAGTTCCTTTAATGGCATTTCACAGAAGTAAAACATCATATCTAAGAAGTAAAATTCAATTTCAGGATAAGATACGATTTCCAATAAAGTACCCCGCATTGAGCATTTACAAAATTTTACTGTGTATAAAAGCAGCAGCCAGTAAGAACTTTGCCACTGGTTCAATTATGTTTTCCTCAGTGCTGTTTAACAAAAATGATAGTTTGTTTAGCCTAGGCAGAAGAAGTATTTGAAAAATGTTAGACTTCTGAGGGGCAAAGAGTAGGCCAAGGAGTGCTTATGGAAGCAGTTTAGAAAGAGACAGTATTATTTATTTTATTTATTTATTTATTTATTTATTTAATGCCTGCCTCTCAGAAGGACCCAAGACAGCATGCAAGATTAGTTAAAAACCATGGTAATCAGTATTAAAACATCAGCAATAAATACCACTAAAAACAGCAGCTTACATATAGATCTCTGCTGCAAATCTACAAAAAGTGGTGTGGTGGAAGCTCAAACATTCATTCTTCTAAACAGTACTACTTTACAGAACTCTGAAGATCAGCTGTGTGGGAGTCCTCATAACCTCAGCTAGCAAGCCATTTCAGAAAGTGGGGTCCACCACTGGAAAGGTCTGTTGTTATTGTCGTCACCCTTCTGCTGGATGAGTTCCTTAACATACCTTGTTTGTCTGAGCAGATCTACCTTGGGGATGGGGGGGGGGGACATAACAGAAAGAAACTGTCAGTTTGTTTTAAAAAGAAATATGTAAATTTTAAAGGGTATACCTGAGAGAGTAGCTCCATTTCAAATGTCCAACCAGAAATTCTCTGACTTGCAGTAGGAGGCCATTTTCTAGCAGGAAAACATCAAAGTACAGTTTCTTCTGACAAGATGGAGGAATGCTGTTGATAATCATTTCTTCAGAAATGTTTAATGAGAGACAGCTTTTGGTATTTCATATGCTGCTATTGCTACCTTTTAAAAATTGACTTACTTGCTGACCTGCAAAGGACAACATGGAACTTATTGATACTTTTAAAAAACACTATCCTGTAATGTTCCTCTCAGGAGGTTTAAGTAAGCCTTTGCCTACACTTCTCCCTTCATGGTGACTGGCTTGCAAGGGTACATTGACATCCACCATCTCCCTTCCATGGGCTGCCAGCAGATTCTGAGCCCTGGCCTCACTCTTTGTCTAGAAGGGGATGGATGCTGTTTCAGGGTTGTTTTTTTCTCTTTCAGCATCTCATGACACTTTAAATAAGAATTATCTTTTAATCTTTGGAACTGCCAGAGAGGACTTGCAAAGAATGAGGATGGGGAGGAGGTGGGGTCAGTTTTTACAATCTGCGTATATGGATGTTTAAAACTACATTTGTTTTCTTGTGGTCTTGATCCCCACTCTAAATACCCACTCCAGTTATTCATATTTGCATTTCTGTGAAGTTGTAAACCTTTTTTTAAACAGAATTCCCATGCTCTATAAAGCTATACATATAATAGCTATAATAAAAGCTATATCACTGCTTTTATTATTTGAGCCTGAGTGGGAATACTGAAACAGTGCTGGCATTGCATTGAGGACAGAACCCTTATCTGGAAACTGGGTTCCGGGTGGGATCATACTTTACCTTGGTTACTCAGTAACAGCAATACCTCTCATTCACACATTGCCAGGGCGGTATGAGATATTTAAAGAGTCCATGTTGTGACTTCTGTCCACATCAGCTTCCCATATTTCCCCAATTGCAATGAAAGCAGTTGACACTGATCTACACGCAGATTGTCAAGGAAAAGTAAGATTACAGTCTGAGGTGCCTTTATTTGTACACACATAATAAAGTGGTCAATCCTTTTGGGGCAAAAAAGGATGAAACAACAGGAGACAGATGATTAGTGGGCTCCAGAAGCGCATATCAGTAGTCTACACAATATTGTTAAAAATATTTGGTAATGATTTTGTTAAATTACATTTTATGCAACTAGAACAATATCTTGTAGAGTATTATAAACCTGCAGTTCTGTAAAGAATAAATCTTTCTTTAAGAAATGTCCCATGAGCCATCATAATGATTTAATTTTGTTTACTGTTGTTTAAAAATTAAATGCTGAAACTATCAAAAGGATTGCTTGGTATTCAGAGTGGTTAGGTTAATAGGTATTGTTCATTGATTGTTTTTAACAGCAGTTTATACTGAATTGCTGATGTAAAAACAGTTTTCTGTTGGCTGGCCTTTGTAATCTTTATATTGCTACTTTGGATAGAAACTTGACTTGTATTCTTTCTGCCTGTATTCTATAACAGTGCCTTTTAAAGGACTTTGGCAATGTTTTTACTTCTTGATTGGGACACTAGGAGTGCGTTCAGACGGGGCATTTGCAACGGTATAGGTGCCGGTTGGAATCGGTGTACTTACCGGCGTTCACACGGCGAACATCTGCCTTCCATCCCTAACCGTTGCAAAGAGCTTTACACCATTGTATTCTGCCACTAGGTCCCCAAGTAGTGGTATCCTGAGTGCAATGGTTGTAATCGCGTTACCCCCGTCTGATCGCTCTCCAACGTTGTAAAGCCACTTCCGTTCGGAAGCCCGAGGCTTCGATTTTCGCCTGCCATTTTTTTTGGTTAGGTTGGTGATATGCACTTGGGCGAAGCTTCGCCCCGGCGTTTGTTTTTTTAAAAAAGAAAAGGTCCTTAGTTTAAGGTTTTGGAGGACTCCGAGACCTCAGGGAGGCCAGTTTGGTCTTTAAACTTTAAAGGTAAGTCCTTACCTTTAAACTTTAAATGTAAGACAGGGTGTTTTGCGCATGTGTGAAGATCGCCATTCTGTGGATGGCTGCCTATGCGCATGCTCAAACTGAGTAAAAAAAAGAACGGGCATACAGCGATGGGCTCCGCAGACAGGAGGTAAGTGTGATCGCGTTTCAGCCAGCATAAACTGCACCGGTTCCAATTAAAGTATCAAATCATGGCAATCTCCTTTACATGGTAACAGGTTACTTCAACAACAAAGTGTGATAGTTTTGGAATACGTACACTACCTATATGTGATAAATATTTTCAGGCGGCAGAATTTTTTGAAAAATGAGGATGTTTAAGACCTCTGCCTGCAAAGCCTCCTGACAGTCAAAGCCTCCTAAGCTTGATAGACTAATGGTTTGACTCACTGTAAGGCAGCTTGGGAGATAGAAAATGCTAAACCAGGATCTCCAGACAAGCAATCATATAGAAATCAATTCTGTTTTCTTGGGGAGGGAAACTGATCAAGCCAACTAAAGAGACAACACACAGCAGTAGAAAGGAAAGCCAGATGAGCAAGAAAGGATGGAGGAGGCAGCCCCTAGAATTCTATACAGTAATCTATCCCTAGTGTTTAGGATGTGAGATTTATTTATATATTTATTTTATACCCAGCCTTTCTCCCCAGTGGGGACCCAAAGCAGCTTACACCATCCTTCTCTCCTCTGTTTTATCCTCACAACAACCCTGTGAGGTAAGCCAGGCTTATTTTGCAGTCACACATAGTAAATAATCCACTTTCAATTCACTTTCCAACTGAATTTTGCCAATTCACACAGTAAAATCCAGTCAGAAAGTACACTGAAAGTGGATTGAAAGTGTATTATTTAGTGTGTGTGACCGCAGCCTTAGAGAGTGTGATGCCTTAGAGAGAGGATGGAAGGCCACTCATCAAGCTTCCATAATGTGAGTAGGAGTCCCTTGGATACTAGTCTAACACTCTTAACCACTATACCACACTGACTCTCTGCCAAAATAGTTAGATATGTTTATGCTGTGTATTCTGTTGGTGTGCTTCTGGTGACTTTGGTAACGATGGCAGCATGCATGGAGCTTGGCAGCATCCGTTGAAGTCTGCACCAAGTGTGGCATGATTATTTAAACTGGGTGTAAGGGTTGCACATTTCCCTCACATTCAAGATATACACAGTTTTCTTGTGTCTGCTTTCTTGAGTTGCAAGAGGTACTAACAACTACCTGGATATGTCTGAATAAAATAGATTCCATCTCCAGTAATCGTAAGCTTTGCTGGCACCCTGTTAGTCAGTTAAGCACTGTTGGAGGAAAATGTTCCTAACATCATTAGCCACTGGAGGAAGATCCAAGACACAATCATGTCATTGCTCCTGCTAGACACTCTGGCAGACATGTCCATGAATGTTCCTTTGGAATCTACCAGGGCTTGGAGTACCATACTGTAGTAGAATTTTATGTTACAATACTCTGCCGTGGTGCTGCTCAGGTGCTAGAGTCTTGACATGAGTACAGCTAATGTATTGAACTCCAGGAACTTGCCATCAGTTGTTCCTCATGGATCAGTTTTGTAACAAAGTGCAAGAAAAGTTTGGTGGTGACCAGCATAAACTTCAGAAGAACGAGGCTACAGGGAACTCTGCCAAATGTTCAAGAAAAAAAGTAGATAAAACTTAAATGTTGGTACATTCTTTTCTTCACCATGCAGTAAATATACTGGGTAAAGTCCTTTTTATTAACTGATAAATAGGTAACTACTAGCATGTTTAGAGTTTCAGTGGACATGCTTTATGCTAACCAATATTATTAAATTTAATGAAATCTTTGCTACTGTAGTACAGTGTAGATTTAGTAGTTACGATTATTTTTTTAACTTTTTCTCCCAGGTAATTTTCACTGATTGAACTGTACAAGTGCCAATATGTATCATTCCGTATCTGAAACAAGACATCCTTTGCAGACAGAAGAACAAGAAATCGGTATTGATCCCTTGCAGAGCTTTGTGAACAAGCCTGAAGATGGTGAGTTTCACTCAGTTTGTGATGTGTTTAATTTTCTTCCCCCAAAGCTGTTGATCAGGATACGTTTTTGAGAATATTTCAGTGCACGTATGTAAAGCACTTTGCTATTAATAAAGACGATGACACATCAACAAATTTGTATACAGAAACAGTAGCCAAATGTTTAATTCACTTTCATCCTTTTTTAATCATAAGGCAAACAATGATTTCACCATCACAATACTGAAATTCAATATAGCCTTTACTAAACAACGTGCAAAAATAAGCTCTGAGCCAACTTTGCACTGCTTGTTTGCTTTCCTATTGTGTATGTGGCTTTGGTAATGTCTTTATAATGATATGGGTCGCTGCTTTCTATTAAATTTCTATTTTATTTTGGGTGGTGTTGATAAAATTCTAGCAGACTTTTATTTTTACTTACAGAGGTTTTGGGGTTTTTAATAAAAGCTGATATTGGCACCTGTATCTTTAAAAGCTGTATTTTGGGGTCTTTTTAAATCAGCCTACAGAGCCCAGGTCATACCATGGTCTGTTATACTATCCTAGCATGTTTGTAGATATACTACTGAGGTCACAGATACTCTGGTGAAATTTCCCAGAAGGCAGTATTTAGAGTGCCATGAAGAGAAACTACCTGGAATAATGCAAGCGTATGCATGTGTTAGTTGTCTTCTCATTTTATCTGTGATCACGGACTACATAGTTAACTAGAGGAAAATAACAAGATGCTTGAAATCTTATCCTTGTCATTTAAGACCATTTTGCAAGTACTTCATAACACACCGTGACACCTTTACTACTTGTAATCTTCTGGTCCATGAATTCACATGTCAGAAAAATGAATTTAAAAATATGTTTCAGCTGGATTAATTTTGTGCTATGTTTCCAGGGTGTTTTTAAATAAACTTTTCTGAATGAATATACATGTATTGACCACACATCATATAGTAGTAACAAAACATGTTGCTTACTGATAGAGTTGCCTGATACATCATTGATAGGTATATCTGTATAACTTCATTGGATCACTGATAAAGTAGGTTTATATTCACTAGTACATAAACATTTGTAAAATATGCAAGATTTGTAATAGTGGTCAATCATGCTGTAATTAGCTCATTTATCCCATCCAAATGTTTCTACCTAGAGGGCACAAAAATACAATCAAATCTTGGTCTTAAATTATTTGAGTTATTCAAAAGCCTTCAGACTTTACACTTTCTCCCAAAGTGTCTGTCCCATGTAAATTTTGTTCCCAACTACCCAGATATTTGATTATCCATGTTTTACATCCCATAGGCTCAGCAGAAAGATAAGAAAGTACCATTTGTTTTTGTTTTTAAAGTTGGAAATACTAAGCACCCCCTATTTTTATAATATATTTGTATTTTAATATGACAGCCTGTTTTCAAGCCATCATTAAGCAGAAATTTAAAAGCTTCTTGTTGAGAACTCAAAAGCTGATATTTCCACATTTCATTCCTTTTCTGTGATTTTTGATCTCTCTAAGAAATATTTTAATTAGTGCACCTTTTTTTGTGTGCCCAGGAGCAATTAGTTGCCTAGCCAGAAAAACCTTTCTGTTTTTTTAAGTTGAATCTTAACATTGCTTCGACATATAAAGTTATTAGGATCGAATTGATGTTTAAAAGTGCCATTAATTCATTTACCCCAAATGTTCATTAACAATGTAAATGTATGCTGATGTTCTACGAGACAAGGAAGTGACTAATGACTCTTCGCACTAACAACACTTAAAATGAATAGAAACTTAAGATAGCTAATCTTGAAGTAATCAAGACCCTCATTCAGCTTGGCATCTCTGTATGCTCTAAAACAGCTGTCAACTGTTAAAAATATATACACAACACACAGATACGCACATGCAAAGATAGAGATATGTAAATACATGGTTCCCCAAAGTCATAAAGGTTACCAACCATAGTACATTTTTTACATTCTATATGTAAATATTTTATATAAAGCATCCATTTCATCTTCATAGCTTTTTTACAGTGAAACACAGACTGCATTTTAATTTGGTGCCATATGTATCCAAGATTCATCATCTCTCAGCTTTATGCTATTATTTAAAATAAGATATGCTCTGAATATTGGGGGGGTGGGTGGACTTAAGCATGTAATTTTCCTAGGCCAAATGCTACAACTCAAGAATTCAGTATCAGGAGGCGGCAACTGCTCTGTAACAAAGAGATCATCAGATTATCCAAATCATTTAATCTGTTGTGTGTTGCCTTTCTCTGTTAGTACTTATTTCAGGGCCAACTTGCTTTCAAGCACATAACTTGCCAAACAAAACCCGAAACAAACCAAAAAAACACCTCTGCTTTTTGGTCTACTAGATAGCATCTTTGATTTAAATATGGAACCTACATTAAATTTCAGCTCCAATAAGTATAATGTAGACATCATGTATATAGGTGATTGATTCAGTTCCTTTCCAGCCAAGTAATGGCTTCTTCTAAACATGGGTAGCAGTGTGAAGGTGAGCATGTGAAAACTAGTAGTCAGTTATGGATGGGATTTAGCCATTACGAAGCTTGGAGACCTTCATTTCATACAAAGGAACAGATTTATGGATTAATATCAGGCATAAATGTCTGAATAGTTTGGTACTACATGCTAAAACTCATGCAGAGAAATTCTAACTCACCTTGCCTAATACTGGATAAATGTAGTGAGAATACTGCTGATGGTAGTCTTAGCCATAGGACCAGCGCAAGGCAGAATCAAGAGGGCTCAGGGTACAAATTCTGAAGTGTTTTCAAATATGACCTTTAATCAGATTTGTGATACAATCCTAAATGGAGTTAAGCCCTTTTAAGTCAATTGAAGTCAGTGTTTTTTAGTGGATTTAGAAGACTGGAACTCTGCTTAAGACTGTACATCCAAATATAGATTATATATGTAAGTATAGTTTGTGTGTGTGTGTTATCTTGTAGGATATGGTATATTATGTGGTTGTATATTTATAAAATGAATTCTGCCTTTCACTAACTTGTTAGGTAGTGTTCTTCTGTTAATAACTGTCACGTATACGCCATCAAAAAATAATAATGTATTTCCTTGCTCACGTCCTGATTGCTGCTGTGTGCAATCAGTGGCATTTATAGGTAACTAGGAAGAAGGCCCACTGTAGCAGGAGACAGCGGGCACTAGTGTGGGTGGTGGGCAGCTGCCCACCCGGGGCGGCTGAGCAGTGAGGGGGCAAAGGTGTGTGGCCCCGCCATCAGCCCGAGGCCATGGCAGGGCAAGGCGACCAGCCGGGCCCTCCCGCAATGGGGCACTTGGCGCCCTGCGTGGCCGGTGCACTCGAGGCCCCCACAGGTGGAGGAGTCCGGGCGCAGCCCCCCACAGCAGGATGGAGCCATTGGAGGGCCAAGTTGGGCGGCCGGACTTCCCCTGGCTGCCGGAGGCATCGGCAGGCCAAGGCGCCCAGCACACCACTGGTGGAGAGGTCCCATGCCGCCTGGCCCTCTGGGAGGGTGCCAAGCGGCCACAGAAGGCAGGGGCAGGGGGTGGACGGAGAGGGGTCGGCGACAGTCAGGGGTTTGCTGGAAGAGAGGTGAGTGAAGTGGGGGCTTTTCAGCCCCCACCTGCCTGGGACGCGGCCATGAGTCAGTGTCCTCGCGGCGGAGCAGGGAAAGGTGAGATGGGGCGGTTGGAGGTCTTGTGTGGTGGTGGGAGGATTGTCCCGCAGTCCCCGGCTTCCCCCCGATGCGATGGTGGCAGGGGGAGGGAACAGGGCACCACTCAGTACTTGGTCCACTGCTTTTTAACTTGTTCATTAATGATTTGGAGATGGGAGTAAGCAGTGAAGTGGCTAAATTTGCGGATGATACAAAGTTGTTCAGGGAGGTGAAAACCAGTGAGGATTGTGAGGCACTCCAAAGGGATCTGTCAAGGATGGGCGAGTGGGCGTCAACATGGCAAATGGGGTTCAATGTGGCCAAGTGCAAGGTGATGCACATTGGAGCCAAAAATCCTAAATATAAATACACATTGATGGGGTCTGAACTGGCAGAGACTGAGCAAGAGAGAGATCTTGGAGTTGTAGTGGATAACTCACTGAAAATGTCGAGACAGTGTGTGACTGCAATAAAGAAGGCCAATGCTATGCTG